GGTGGGCTGCCAGGAAAGGGAGCAGAAACAGAGATGTAAGAGGTGACTGAAAGGAGGCCAAGGTGAGAGAGAGCCCAGAAGGGAATTGCCAGTGCCACCTACTGCAAAGAAATCTTGTTGGGGGTATTCTGGAGAGCTGGTCAGTGTCCCCCACAAACCCCATTCCACAGGGCAGGCAGGTTGTCATAGGCTTGCTTTCAGATGGTCCCCTTCCCACTCACAGCCTTCAATGGCTTGTATGAATTTTGGTCCCTTGTTCTGTCTTCCTTATCGAGACTTCTGGGTTTGAGACTTTACATGGATCAGGTCCTTCTTCCTCCCCCAGCAGGTAGGACACAGAGAGGCACCAGTGTGGCTCTGGAGCCAGGCTTGCTGGGTTTGCATCCCAGCTCTTTGTGTGGGCTTCCTAGTACTTGGATTTCCCTTACCTGCAAAATGGGAATAATAGAACAGGATTGTTGAGAGGGTCCGTGCATATGTGGTACTTAGAACATGCTTATACAGTACATACATGGTACTTAGAACAGTGCCTGGACCAAGAATAGTGTTCTTATCATCGTCCATATCCTAGTGATCACGAGCATCCCAGATTAGCGCTGCCTCCTTTTGCCCTTTCCCCACTCTATCTTAGATTGTCCTAAAAACTGTCGTCCCGCAAACTGTCCCACTGTCATCAACTGTCCTCATTCCGGAGCTTTCCAAGCACCTTTCTTGCTGGGCTCTGTGCTAGGTGCTATCATACGCATTTTCTCACCTAAAATCCTCACTACAACCCTGATATGTAGATATCATTAGCCCCCTTTTACAAAGGAGAAAACCAAGGCTTAGAGATGCTAAAGAATTTACCCAGAGGGAAAACTAGTTAGTGGTAGAGTTGGGATGGGAGATGAAACCAAGTCTTGTTGGACTCTGTCTTAGTCATGGTTCTCTGGAGAAACAGAACCAGTAAGATATACATACAGGTAGTCCCTGACTTACAACAGGGTTCTGTTCTGATGATTTTGTCTTAAGTTGGTTCTGACGGAAGTCGAGTAGTAGCTCCTTTTTTGTTTGTTTCCATTGTTGCCTTTTATTACCAGTATGTTTATAAATCTTTGGGGATTGGAAACATTACAAATAAAGATAAATTTTATTACATACATTAAAAAAATACAAATCATAAAAATTTACTCTGCCAGTGAGGAAGAGTTGCACAACAATGGCATTTTGTCAGTTGCAGTAATAAATCCATTTGTGGAAAGTTCTGGATCATCTGGATTATCCCTGTGAATGGAGATGGTGTTTCTAGCCAGAAAATTAGTGAGTTGTCTGTATGGTCCTTTTTCTTCTTCATATATTTCAGGGTAATATGTTACTTCTGCTCCCTGAATCTGCCTATCATCTTTAGGAAAGGGATCAGCATTTGGGTCCATGTTTCCAAGCAACTGAAGCCCCTGATTCAATTTAGAAAAAACTCCAGCTAATCCTTTCACTCCAGCCACTCCTTGGAAGGAAGATGGGGCAGTCTACTTCCATAGTGATACTGCCTTGGAAACCCAGGGAGGGGTCGCTATGAGTCGGGTCTGACTCGATGGCACACAACAACAACAACAACAACAGTCCTTTCACTGTGAAATTTTTTTTGACAATTTCTTTACTACTCCATCATTATTTCTTTTTTCTTCAATATTTCTTTCCTCTTCAAAATCCATTAAATCTTGATCTGTCGTTTCCCCTTCTTCATAATCTATGAGCTGTTCTTCATCAGCCATGCCAGGTTCTCAGTTCAGCATTCTTGCTAAAATTATGGATGGCTTTTCCACTGATCTTTTTTTATCATATTATATGGATTAGATGCTTGGAGTATGTTCGCATTTCATAGCAATTTTTCCCATATCTCCTGCATGTATTTTCCCATAACTTCCTTCCAGGAAGATGCAATTGTTCCAGATATACTGATGGTCATAAGTGAGGTTCATGGTAACTCAAATATATTATAAGTCAGAGACTACCAGTATATACATATATATATATATATATATAATATACAGATAAAGGCGCTCTGGTAGCATAGTGCCTAAAGCATATGACTGCTGACCAGAAGTTTGGCAGTTCAAACCCACCAGCCACTCTGCAAAAGGAAGACTGGGCAATCTGCTTCCATAAAGATTTACTACCTTGGATACCCAAAGAGTCAATCTATGAGTCGTAATCTCTTTTTTTTGTTTTTGTTTTATTATATATATAGAGAGAGAGATTGATTGATTGAATTTAAGGAATTGGCTCATGCAGTTGTAGGTAAGTCAAGCTATAGTCTGGATTATGGCTTGTGTCTCATCAATTCATAGGTCAGACAATTGGAAGGGTGAAGAGAGGGAGTTCTGACAAAATGTCTATTTATATTCTGGAGGCAGAACACACTGTAGGGAAGCTCCCTGAGCCTCTGCCCCCCAGCCCTTACATTATGGAGGTTAATATGCTTTACTTAAGGCCAACCGGTTTAATCACATGTAACTACTTCATAATGGAGTATAGACTACTGTTTGCCCAGACAACTGGCACCATAGCCTAGCCAAGTTGATGTATAAAAGTAACCATCACAGGCTTCAAAGTTCATTCTCTAATACTGCTTCCAAACCCACCAGCCACTCCTCAGAAGGAGGATTGGGCAATCTACTTCAGTAGAGATACCACCTTGGAAACACAAGGAGAGGTTGAGTGAGTTAAATCAGCTTGATGGCAGTGAGTTTGGTTCTTGGTTTCTGCCTTCCCACTGGAAGGCAGGCGTTCCTTGCCTATGGGCAGAAGAACAGCTCCCTAGGAGCCCTGTCTGTGAGGTGCACCAGGGCCTTCCAGGGAGGGTCACCATCTTCCTCCTCTCCTTTATGTTTGTGAAGCTTTGAGTCAGGTTCCTGCTACCTAGTTCTCAAAACACATTCCCAGACAGCTTTCTCAAGGAAGGGGAGTTGCCTCTGTGGAGGCTCCAATAAGCTGTGTTGTACTTGCCCTGGCTGCTATGAGACAAGAGAAAACAGGTGCTGGCTGGGCCCCAGACTCCTCCCTGCATGCTGCAATTCCATGCTTTTCTTGGAAGCCCTTTCTTTGGGGTGAGTAGACCACATTATGACCTGCCTGTGGCTCTTAACATGGGATATGTCAGGCCCTCTAACCAGAAATATCTCCCTTGCAGTAGTTACAGGAGACCTGATGTTCCAGTTTTCCCTGGAGGCCCAGCTGTTCAGCTCCTTCCCTCTCCACCTCCATCAGTTGCTGTGTTTGACCTTGGCCATGCAGGCCTGGAACTGAGGGTACTGAGCAGTGCACAGCCCTCAAGTCTCAGGATTTAAGGTGTGCAGGCACTAAGCCAGTGTGTCACTTTGGTTCCCTGCCCTCCATTATCTCATTCCAGATTTGTAGCCCTCCCCACACCCCTTCTCCTTTCAGTGAGCTTGGAAGCCCTTCAGGACAGAGAGGTGGACACAGGCAACACATGAGCTCAGTTACTCAGTTCTCTGGTTTTAGGGCAGAGGTCATAGCCATGGGTGTGATTTATATTTGCAGAGAGCTAAGGGGAAGCAGAGAGAAGCCAAAGAAATACTTATTGACCCCTTGTTCTAGAGGGAAAAAAAAAATCAGTTGCTGACTCATAGTGACCCCATGTGTGTGGGAACTGTGCTCCCTAGGGTTTTCAGTGACTGTTTTTTTGGCACTCTGGGTGGACTTGAAGGAGCTCTGGTGGCACAGTGGCTAAGGCATTTGACTGTTAACCAGAAGGTTGGCAGTTCAAACCCACCAAGCACTCTATGCAAGGAAGACTAGGCCATCTACTTCTGTAAAGATTTAGTGCCTCAGAAACCCAAAGGGTGTCTCTATGAGTCAGAATCAACTCGATGGCAGCGAGTTTGGTTTTTGGTTTTTTGGGTAGGAGCTCTGGTAGCATAGTGTAGGCATTTGACTGCTAACCAGAAAGCTGTGAGTTCAAACCCACCAGCCACTCTTGGAAAGAAGATTGGGCAATCTACTTCCATAGTGATAGTGCCTCGGAAACCCAAGGAGGGGTTGCTATGAGTCAGATCTGACTCGATGACAGTGAGTTTGTTTCTTTTGGGGGGGGCATGGACTTGAACCTCTGACCTTTAGGTTAACAGCCAAACATTTAACTGTGTGTACCGCCCAGGGACTCTTGTTCAAGGGCCTGTTCTAACCCTCCCTATTGTCAGGCTTCCTCATCAAAGCCATCCAAGACCTTGTTGTAAAGTGACCTCTGGTATCACACAGTGCCAGTGAGAGAGTCCTGTGAAGACCATTGATGGCAACTGATTCAAGAGCTTGGGCAAAGGCCAGAGCCTGGCTACACTGATGGTTGTGGCACGATTGCTTTCTCTCCACGTGACCCTCAGGCTGTTTTGCAGTATAGAAGGCCTGTGCCAGAGAAACTGGCTCCAGGCAGGTCAAGGTGCTAATCCCACCACTAATGAGAGTCCCAGTGGGGTGGGAAACCCATATATATCAACTTCTAGAGCCAAATGCTCTCGTTGCTCTGGCATATGGCTAGATCCCTTTGCAGAAAGTAACCTCTATACGTTCAGCTTCTGAACCTGCCCTTTGCCCCATGGACCTTAATAAAGTGAACCTGGCTCCACCAGACAGCTTTCCCCTGAGTTCTGGGGGCAGTGGAGGAGTCACTGTTCTGGGAGCTGTGGACCATGCCAGTAAGGCACGGATATACACATTGTTGACCAGGAAGAGCCTAGAGCATCGTCAGCACTGTGTGGGCCCCTGTGGGAGTCAGTGACAATGATAATTGTGTACCAGCAGTGGGAGGAGGGACAAAATCCTTGCAGAACCTCAGGAACAGGTTTGTGTGACAGCCTGTGTGTGGGTTCCCTGAACTTGGTGGCCTTTTATGGCCTGATTTTCCTGAAGGGGTGGTCCGAGTGCTTCCCTAGCTCAGCATGGAGTGTCTCCCAAGGGGTGGTCATTGGAAATATGAACCATCTCTCTGTCTCCCCCTCTCCCAGTGGGTATATAACGTTCTGGAGAAGAAGGCTGAAGCTGACCGGATTGTTTTTGAGAACCCAGACCCCTCCAATGGCTTTGTCCTCATCCCTGACCTCAAGTGGAACCAACAACAGGTAAAAGCTTTCTTACTGGGTCTCCCGGTCTCGAAGTACCTGCAGCAACTTGCCTGCCTTCCTTAAGGACCTGCCCTTTTCTCTCTTTGGCCTGTCTTAGCACGTTATAATTAACCAACATGGGGCTCCTGAGCTCCCTGCAGTGACAGAATATGTGCCTGTCATACATTCTTATGTTTTCATGGGTTACCTTGGCAAAGCCCTTTCTAGCTGCCCCCTCAGGGGTGACAGATGTGGTGATATTTGCATCTGTGACCATATTCCTTAGCCAGCAAAGCAGCTGGGCTGCCACCTTTGCTTCCATGACCTGGATCCCTGAGGTGGAGTATTTATACTTTCTCCATCCTGTTTGATACCGGCAGGCATAAGCTATGGTGACCCACACCAGGAGTCCTTGCAGAGCCTGTGTGGCGGAGAGTAGGTTCTCTAGGAATCTAGGTTCCTATGAGGAATCCCACTGAGGCCTCTCAGCTCTCTGCTACCTGGCTCCCATACCTCTTCTTTTGTTTCTCCTAGTCTTCCAAGGCAATGTGTTTTTGTCAATCCAGTTTCACTCACAAGTACCCCTCTTTGGTTCTCTGTGGCCTCTCTCTCTCCCTCCCTTCTTTTCTCCCTTCCTTCCTCTCTTTCATACTAGTCCCTAACCACAATTATAACTTGCTTTTCTTTCCTTAGGTAAGACTTATACCTTGGCATTATTGAGGACAGGCAGAGTCATATGTTACTGGGGGGTGTTGTTTACACCATAGACTGAATGAAGCAGCTGCAACCGGAGAGAGGGGGTAGGAGAAGACTGAAGAAGGCAGAGGTGGGAAAGTGGAAATAGATAATCATTCAATTAAAATCTTTGCCTTCTCCAAGCTGGGGTCTTCAGCTTTGCTTCAGGAGAGCCATCTGGCTTCTGTGCCTCTCACAGTCATGAGACCTCCACACAGAGGAGCTGTTCTGGAGTATGAGCCCCATCTGCTGCTCCTCGACCCTTTTCCTCTAGCTTTCTCAGTTGTTCCCTAGCCCTCAGGGCATTTGAGCACACCTGGTTTGCTTTTTTTTTGATTTGGTAGTTTGTAGACTCACCATTTATCTGTCAGTGTGTCATACTGTGGTGGCTTGTGTGTTGCTGTGAAGCTGGAGGCTATACCCCCAGTATTTAAAATACCAGTAGGGTTACCCATGGTGGACCGGTTTCAGTGGGGCTTCCAGACTAAGACAGTCTTGGAAAAAGGAAGAGGCCATCCACTTCTCAAAGAATTGGTTTCAAAGTGAAAACCTTATGAATAGCAGTGAAACACTGTCTGAGGTATTACTGGAAAACTTTTTGACTAGCCCTGAAACATTGTCCGATATAGTGTTGGAAGATGAGCCCCTCAGGTTGGAAGGCACTCAAAATACGACTGTGAAAGAGCTGCCTCCTCAGAGTTGAGCCATCCTTAATGATGTGGATTGAGTAAAGCTTTTGGGACCTCCATTTGCTGATGTGGCATGACTCAAAATGGAAAGAAGCAGCTGCAAATGTCCATTAATAATTAGAACATGGAATGTATGAAGTATGAATCTAGGAAAATTGGAAGTTGTCAAAAATGAAATGGCAGTGAGTTTGTTTTGGGGGGGGGCATGGACTTTAAGGTCCATAAATATAGATATTCTAGACATTGGTGAGCTGAAATGGACCAGTTTTGGCCATTTTGAATCAGACAACCATATGATCTACTGTGCCGGGAATGACATATTGAAGAGGAATGGTGCAGCATTCATCATGACAAAGAATATTTCAAGATCTATCCTGAAGTACAGTACTGTCAGTGATAGGTTAATATCCATATGCCTACAAGGAAGACCAGTTAATACTATTATTCAAATTTACACACCAACTACCAAAGCCAAAAAAGGAAATTGAAGATTTTTACCAACTTCTACAGTCTGAAATTGACCAAACATGCAGTCAAGATGTGTTATCACTGATGATTGGGATGCGAAAGTTGGAAACAAAGGAGAATCACTGGTAGTTGGAAAACATGGCCTTGGTGATAGAAATAACGCTGGAGATCACATAATAGAATTTTCCAAGACCAACGACTTATTCATTGCAAATACCTTTTTCAACAACACAAACGATACCTATACACTTCGCCAGATGGAGTACACAGGAATCAGATCAACTACATTTGTGGAAAGAGGTGATGAAGTAGTTCAATATCTTCAGCCAAAACAAGACCAGGAGCTGATTGTGGAACAGACCATCAGTTGCTGCTAAAGGGGCAGGGAAGTCGCATCTTCTGACCTCCTGTAACCCCACAAGAGAAAGACAGAATCACCATCAGTAGCCCAAGGCATATCCCTGTGAGGCCAGACATGCTGCCTCCCTCCAACCCTTTCACCAACCCTGACACCAACCGTTCCTCCTGCAGCACCCACCACCTCTCTGCTGGGTTCAATAATTCACTGCAGTGGCCAAACAGAGCTCACAGATTATGGAGTTTATAGGGAAGCAACAGGCTACAATTCAAGTTCAGGAACACAGTCAGTCTCTCTCAGCCTGCCATTTCTCAGCCCACAGTCTTTTTCAGTCTCTCTCCCAGCACTGCATGTCTCTCGGCATGTCTCTCCCAGCACTGCGTGTCTCTTGGCATCTCTCTCCCAGCAGTGCGTGTCTCTCGGCATCTCTTTCTCAGCAGTGCATGTCTCTCACATCTCTCTCAGCAGTGCGTGTCTCTCGCATCTCCCAGCTGGCAGTGAGAGATTTCTTCTGCCTCTGTTGTTGTTGTTATGTGCCGTCGAGTCAGACCCGACTCATAGCGACCCCTCCTTGGGTTGCCGAGGCAGTATCACTACGGAAGTAGATTGCCCAACCTTCCTTCCGAGGAGTGGCTGGTGGGTTTGAACTGCCAGCCTTCTGGTTAGCAGTCAAGTGCCTTAGCCACTATGCTACCAGAGCTCCCCTTCTGCCTCTAGGAGGGCTCATTTTGAGCCTGGCAGAGTGGCAAACTAACTAATCCCAACATCAGAATTCTATACACCTGAGAGAGAGAGAACTTCCCAGAAGATTGGTTCATGCCACTCTTAACAGAAATACTCCAGGTGGATAACTTTAACAATCAGGAACTACTCAGTTGCTCAAGGCAAATTCCACCCTGGAGTTTACAAAGCCTTATGGCTAGAAAAGCCATACCAGGTAATTTACTACACCACAGTTGCTCATATGCAAGTTCAAGGTGAAGCTGAAGACAATTGAAACAAGTTCACAAGAGCCAAAATATGACCTTGATTATATCCTTCCTGAATTTAGAGATCACTAAAGAATAGATTTGATGCATTGAACACCAGTGACCAAAAACCAGAGGAAATGTGGGATGACATCAAGAATATCATCCATGAAGAAAGCAAAAGATCATTAAAAAGATAAGAAAAGACCAATATGGGTGTCAGAAGAGACTCTGAAATTTGACCTTGAACAGAGAGTAGCTAAAACAAATGGAAGAAATGACAAGATGAAAGAGCTGAACAGAAAATTTCAAAGTGCAGCTCAAGAAGACAAAATCAGTTATTATAATGAAATGTGCAAAGACCTGGAGTTAGGAAACCAAAAGAGAACACACTCAGCATTGCTCAAGCTGAAAGAACTGAAGAAAAAATGTAAGTTTCGAGTTGCAATATTGAAAGATTCTATGGGCAATATATTGAATGATGCAGGAAACGCAAAGAAAAGATGGAAGGAATACACAGAGTCATTGTACCAAAAAGAATAGGTCAATGTTCATCCATTTCAGAAGGTGACATAAAGTTAAGAACCTATGATATTGAAGGAAGACGTCAAAGCTGCACTGAAGGAAGTGGCAAAGAACAAGGCTTCAGGAACTGATGGAATACCCATTGAGATGTTTCAACAAAAGGATGCCATGCTAGAGACACTCACTCATCTATGCCAAGAAATTTGGAAGACAGCTACCTGGCCATCTGACTGGAAGAGATCCATATTTGTACCCATCCCAAAGAAAGGTGATCCCACAGAATGTGGAAATTATCGAACAATATCACATGCACGTAAAATCTTGCTGAAGATAATTCAGACATGGTTGGAGCAGTATGTTGACAGAGAACTTCCAGAAATGCAAGCTGGATTCAGAAGAGGACGTGGAATGCAGGATATCATTGCTGATGTCAGATGGATCTTGGCTCAAAGCAAAGAATACCAGAAAGATGTTTACTTGTGTTTTATTGACTATGCAAAAGCATTCGATTGTGTAGATCATAACAAATTATGGATAACATTGAGAAGAATGGGAATTCCAGAACACTTAATTGTACTCATGAGGAACCTGTACATAGACCAGGAGGCTGTCATTTGAACAGAACAAGGGAATACCACATGGTTTAAAATCAGAAAGGGAGTGTGTCAGAGTTGTATCATTTCACCTTACTTACTCATTCTGTATGCTGAACAAATAATCCGAGAAGCTGAACTATATGAAGAACAGTGGCATCAGGATTGAAGGAAGACTCATTAACAACCTGTGATACACAGAGGACCCAACTTTGGTTGCTGAAAGTGAGGATGACTTGAATCACTTACTCATGAAGATTAAAGACTTCTGCAGTATGGATCAAATCTCAACATAAAGTAAATGAAAATCCCCACAATTGGACCAATAAACAGCATCACAATAAATGGAGAAAAGATTGAAGTTGTTAAAGATTTCTTATTACTTGGTTCCACAGTCAACACCAATGGAAGCAGTAGTCAAAACATCAGACGATGTATTGTACTGGGCAGATCTGTTGCAAAAGACCTCTTTAAAGTGCTGAAGAGCAAAGATGTCTCCTTGAAGACTAAGGTGCACCTTAACCCAAGTCATGGTATTTTCAGTCACCTCATATGTATGTGAGAGCTGGACAAGGAACAAGGAAGACCAAAGAAGAGTTGATGCTTTAGAGTTGTGGTATTGGCAAATAATACTGAAAATACTATGGACTGCCAAAAGAACAAACAAATCTGTCCTGGAAGA